AAGTCGAATACGTCCAAAGGTGAATGTCCATGTGTGTCTCCGTCGCGTGCCTGACGATCTGAATGCAATCCGTCAAAGCCGAAGATGAACACATAGCCCGGTCTCGACTCAAGGAATAGCAAAAGCGTGCCCGGTCGGGGAACTCTGTGAAATCCCACTGCCGCATTGTCTCTCTAGCGGCTCGGCGCGATGTCTTGGCGCTCTCTGGCATGCGCGACGGCGCGCTGAAATCGCCCGCCACCAGCAGGTAGTCAAGTTTACGCAACTCCAAGTTGGGGTTGCCATCCATCCCGAGATCCGGCTCCGCGGTATACGTTGGCGGTAAAGTTGAACGCAGCATGTCAATTAGCGATTTCTTCCGTGCACTCCGCTTTCCCCCAACCTTTGTGATTCGATTTCCTGCTAATGCCAGGCCCCCGAAAGTGCCGTGCACGCGGAGATTCAAGGCAGAGAGAAGATCAACCACAGTGCGCTGCATCGCCCGTCTGTGCGAAATCAAAGGACTGGCCACCATGGGCCCTGTGATGTTTGGGATGTTCGGGGGCGGGGTGGCGTTCGCGTCCAGGCCGACGAATATGAAAGGCAACAATCCAGATTGTCGTACTTTCTGGGGCCCTACCGCGATCGCATCGAGGAGCTTCTGCAGGGTGATTGACTCAGCCCTCTCCGTAGACCCATGATCCAAATTGTGGCCGGAAGCAACAATCAAGTTATGCACAACAACCACTCCCCAAGATCTACCAGAACTTTCCCACCGCATATGGTCAACAGCTGAGGATGGCGCGACAATGCTCACATCGCTGGATGGCGCAGCGCGCACAGCCATGCCACGGTGGCAACTTACTGTCCAACGGGGTACCCCTTGCAGCGCAGCAAACAGACTCTGCCCATAGCGCGTCGAAAGATCATGAAAAACCATCCGTGCTCGACGTGCAGGACTCTTCTAGAAATTCCAAGTATCAAATTTGAAATTGAATTCGGGTGGCGTCGGTGCTGCACCGCCGCCCTCCGAAAGAACGCGCGGCTCCAGAGCCGCCATTGAAGGACTACTGCGAGAATGACAACGAGTAGAAGTGGGCGTAGCCGCAGGAATCCTATTGGCGACTCTCTGGAGCTGCTCCAGCTGCTGCTGGAGTGGTGCTAGACGTTCTGCAACCTGTTGCTCCACTTGTTGCTGTAGCGGTGCGAGCCGACGTTGCAGTGCGGCTCATAGTAGCACCGCTATGCGCTCGAGAAGTTCAAGCTCCTCCACCTCGCCCCTGCCGAAACCAATTCCCCCCCGAGCTCGCCCGCCGCCCCCCTGCCCTCCCCCTCCAAAGACTGCTGCGTAGATGCGAACCCTGAAACAACAACCACGCCGTCGCCCTTGCCGCACAACGCCGGCCCGGCAGAGCGGCCAAGCGAACGCGCATCACGCCACGGCTAACCTATCAGAAGCGCGCGGGGGGCCTTGAGCTTAGGGAGCCCTTGAGCCCGCGAGCATCTAGTTAGGCCTACTCCACTTAGGCTGATGCTAGATATGCATATGTTAGTATCGCCTATATGAATTAGACCCATATTAATTCGTCTTATTGTAGTTCGGTGCGGTGGCAGTTGGGCCTGGCCTGATTCCAGCTGCCCGGGCATCTCATAAGCCTATCACAGGTAGGCCTAACTTATTGAGTTGGGCCTGTTTTTGTTAGGCGCATTCTTATTAGATCTACCTTCGTTCGGCATCTTTTAGTTGCACATGGTTGCAGCTGGGCCTGTTCGGCAGGCCTGGTAAACAAATTTTAGTTACACATTTCGGCAGGCCCATTGAAGTTAGGCTTATTCCAGTTAGGCCTGTTTTAAGTCAGCCTGTCCTAGTTGGGCCTGGTTGCACCTGGGCCTCGCCTCGCCCAAGCTGTCCGAGCAAGTAGATCGGCGTTCTCAGTTTGTTGTTTAGTTAGGCCTCTTTGAAATCAGCATATGTTAGTTAGACCTGTTTTAGTTCGGCCCATGCTAGTTACGCCTGGTTGCAGCTGGGCCTGGCCTGATTCCAGGTGCCAGCGCACATAATTAAGCATACTTTAGTTAGGCCTACTTTAAGTTGGCCTGGTTTTAGCCAAGCCTCGCCTGGTTCTAGCTGCCCGGGCGTTTAGTTCGACCATGTTATATCAGGCCTAGTTTAATGAAGCCTGTTTTGGTTAGACCTGTTTGGATGGGCCTGGTTGCAGCTGGGCCTGGCCTGGTTTCAGCTGCCCGTGCATATCGTTCGGCATATTTTGGTTAGACCTATTTTAGTTATGCCTTGAGAGGCAGCTGGCTAGTATAGTTGGGCCTATTTTAGTTGGGCCACTGTTCGACGTATTTTTGTTAGGCCAATTTCAGCTAGGCATAATTTAGTGATGCCTAGTTTAGCTGGGCTTATTTCAATGAGACCTACCGTGTATAGGCCGATGTAAAATAGGCCTTGGGGTTGTAGTTGGGCCTGGTATGATTCTTGCTGCGCGAGCATTTAGCTTAGTTTACACTTCGA